TTGGTAAAAATTGTATTGAGAAGTTTCGTAACGGCCGAATTCGTAGGGAGATAGTCAATATGGGTAAGTTTTATTTTAAGCATTTGTACCAATTTATGTGTTTGTTTATAAGTTTACTTGAACACAATATCTATTTTGAAACAGGATATGAACTACGACAACCAAATTTTGACAAGAGATTAGAGGATTTGAAGGCCATTGATGAGCGCGTTTGGAACTGGGTATCGAAAATCGAGCGAGAGAAGTGGTCACAAGCATACGATGGTGGTCGGAGATACGGACACATGACTATAAACCTTGTTGAGGCCATTAATTCAGTACTAAAAGGTACACGCCATCTCCCAATAACGAGTGTGGTGAAAGAGACATACTTTAGGTTGGCTAAAGTTTGGTCTGATAAAGGCAAAGAGATCGAGTGTCTGATAAATCGCGGTAAAATCTGGGCTCCGACGGTGGTAGAAGCAATGGAAGAAAATGAGCGTACGACAACCTCAATGTATGTTCATGACTTTGATCGAATTGGACATACTTTTGTTGTCATCGCATGCATACGTCGCAACGAAGTAGCATATAGAGAATCATTTACTGTTAATTTACGACAAAGATGGTGTGATTGTGGCTGCTTTCAGGTGTGGAGATATCCGTGTGCTCATGCAGTCGCTGCATGTATGCATACTGGAATCAATTCATACACTTATGTTGATGAGTGTTTTCACCTACAGAGGATATTAAATATATACAACCATGAGTTCAGACCGATCCCAAATGAATCTTATTGGGATAATCGAGATAATGATGAATGGTTGCCAAATCCACTACTTCGTAGAAGTCTGAAGGGTCGACCAGAATCTACTCGTATTCATACCAGCATGGATATCCATATTAGAGAGAAAGGCCAACCGAAGAGATGTGGATTATGTAGAGCTGAAGGTCATTCAAAAAGAAATTGTCCAAACCTTCCACAGTACAGACCTCAGCAACAATCTTCTTATTTTATAAATTTGTATATTATATTCGATTCAATTACTCGAGTATATATTTAATAATAATTATTTAAATTTAATCATTTAAATTTAATGATTTAATAATAATTATTTAACTTTACTGATTTCATAATAATTATTTAACTTTAATGATTTAAATTAAATACTTTAATAATTATTATTTAACTTTAATGATTTAAATTAAATACTTTAATAATAATTACTTAACTTTAATGATTTAACTTTAATGATTTAATAATAATTACTTCACTTTAATAATTTAACTTTAATGATTTATTAATAATTATTTAACTTTAATGATTTAATAATAATTAATTCACTTTAATAATTAAACTTTAATGATTTATTAATAATTATTTAACTTTAATGATTAAAGTTTAATAATTTAATAATAGTAATGATATTCGATTCAATTACTTAAATTTGATACAAATAATTTAAATAAGGATTACAACTCTTGACGGTGTCAGGGTGTTGTTGAGTAATAATGTCGAGGTGCACGTCGGTTTCATTGTGGTCGTTGCACTTGTTCAGGAGTTTGTTCATCATAACCAACAAGTTCATTCATAGAGGGCATAGGTTCATGTGTTGTAAATATATGCCCACCAACACTATGCTCTCCCATCTGAGGAGTATAGGGCGTAACACCAGAATCACCAACCACTTGACTAAATAAATATTGTGTGATCAAAAGATTCTTGTGGGATATTATCTATTGCCTCTTGTTCTGCTACACGGTGAGAAGAACTCCCACTACCACTCCCACTCCAATGCCTTCTTGGTTTCTCGTGTTTACCAAATTTTTTTGTATACTCTATAAATTGTCGTCTTTCTCTGATCGTTGTCAAGAACGACTTTCCATGTTCCCAAAAATAATTAAGGTAATCCGAACTCTTGAAGTCAAAGTCATCTGCTTGTATGGGAGTGAGCGTTGGCAAGTATGAACCCCTGTTGTTCCAATGATTTATATGGTTGGCATGCCTCACCGACCAATCCTCACCGACCAATCCTCACCGACCCTACCCTGCCCATCTAATCGATGGAGAGCATAATGATTCTCTAGAATGACTGAAATAGGTTGGTGGAAGCCGAATTGCCTCAATACTCTATCGGCAAATTGGAACTCCACAAACATGAAATGGATCAATGGTGTAACAGCACACCAATATTGACAACCCTCCCAGACATGTTGCGGTACGCACGACATAATTTCTTGATCATTGTACGACCTCCAAATAAACTATAAAATAAAATTATATAGTTATTATTTAATTAAATAATTATAAAAATCAACAAAATAAATAAATAAAAATATTATAATATAAACATAATAAAAAAATAAATTCGCTTATTAATTTTATATATACCTCAACTTTGCATTTGATGTCAATCTTAAACCTAAACTCTTTCACGTTGTTGTGCACCAACCCCGTTCTTTCTATTTTATGCCTCCATCTATATACCAATCAAAATAAAATTTTGTAATTATTTTTCATTTACAAAATATTCTTTATTTAATTTAAGATAAAATATTTTAAATCAATAAAATTACCTTCCGGCAAGAGGAAAGTCAACTGCAGTTAGGCTAATCGGTGTTAACCATGGAATTCTGTACCACACCCACGATTGTAATAACATCATGCATCCACCGATTTCAGTCGTATACGCATCATTAACGAGTAATGATGCCTTACACATCTCGCGATACAAGAATGCCAATATTGCTGATCCCCAGTTATACTAACGGGTCATAAAGAAGTTCTCCAAAAACGGAAGATATTGTATATGGACAAGATTACTGGATTTATCTGGCATCAAGATTCCGCCGATCATACGTAATATATATGCTCGAGTTGCATATATAATGTCTTGGTCACTACATTGTGGATCGAGCTTAAACTTATTTGCTAACCAGGATAATCTCAGCCGTGACCCTTTTGCTATAACTTTGTCTCGTACCTTCCCAAGGTAACGCTCACATATTGCAAACACGTCAAGATCGGTATTTCCCACCACCGCCATTCCATTTGTAGGAACCCCTAGTTGTAAAGCCACATCCTCCAAAGTGATCGTACATTCACCACATGGAAGATGAAAAGTATGAGTTTCTAGTCTCCACCTTTTAATTAATGCACTTATCAAACCGGGGATCAACCGAAATTCTCTTACAAAAGATAAAAACCCACTATTTTTAAATTATCAACAATACGTTGATCTGGCATCTCACAGTTGATAAGTCGAGGATGAAGGACTCATTGTTCGTCATCCTGCAATTTGTTAATCAATGTAATTAGAATTAATACACCGTTCTCAAATAAAAAAATAAGTCGATCATATTACCAGTTTTTCCAAATGACTCGAAATGTGTCGACCATCTAGCCTCAAAAGAACATTTTCTTCTATCATATTTCAACAAATCTAGACAAAAAAAAAATTAAATATTACACTCAATTATTACATTGTTTTATTGAAATAATCAATTGCATGTTATCTACTTTAATAAAAAAAAAATAAACATCAAATATAAAATGATCCCTAATTACTATTTGGTTCTCAACATTTTCAAACTTTGTAATTTAATCCCTAAATTTATAAATTCTTGCAAATTTGTTAAAATATTCTTTAAAATCTGTTAAATCTATTACATCATAATAACTAGTCTCATATTTTATATTACTCAATAACAAAATCTAAAATATAGTTCATTCTTTAAAATAAAAAAAAATCAATCTAATTAATTTCTATTTAAAATTATAATCATGTAACAATTATAAAAATTACATAAAACTTACCAAATATTCGATTTATTTCTTCCTTTATTTGAACTTTTTTCTCCTTTTTTTCCCAAAATAACTCTCGAACATGCAAGCTTCTCTTCTCTTCTTTTCTAACTTCTCCCTGAACTCAGTTATCCTCCATTTTATATATCATATTCGATGCATTGTTGCTTCACAATGTCTCCATTGATTGATAATTGCTTTTGATCCATACTCATGCATTATTAATTTCCTTTTGTAAACGTAATTTATGCATGCAATTCAACACCCTTTATTTTACTTTTGCTTTGTTTTCAATCATATTTTTTTGCTTTTGATTTGTTTTAAATCAGATAAGTATTATTTTATGCCCTAATAATCAATTATTGATTCACTTTATCAAAGTTTGGTTTGTTTTACATCTCATTCCCGTCCCACGTGCATTATTCTTCCTATGATTTCCTTATTTTCCTGCAAACATCATGCTACCAAACATAACAAAGTTGGTCCCCACGTGCATTATTCTTCCCATGAATTCCTTATTTTGCTGCAGACTTTCTACTACCAAACATAACAAAGCTGGTCCACACGTTGAAGACACAAAGACGCCGAGAGCTCCAAATGCACATCTGCTGAAGACGTCGAGATATCCAAGTTGAAGACGCCGAGAGCTCCATCAAAGCTGAAGACGCCGAGCTTTGCATGTTTCCTATAGCAATCATCCTATTGTGGGAAATAATAAGCTGATGACACTATCTTAAGAATTAAAGATTCCCATACGCAATATTTGGGCAGTTTTGCCCTAATTATTAAGCCCACCCTCCTAATTTAATTTTTTTTCCTTGTAAACACTCAATTTGAAAATAAAACAAAACTTTTGCAAAGAAAATAAAAAACAAAAAACTTGCATATTTTATGATAAAATAACAGATATCATTTAGATTCATCGGATCTGTCATAGGAACATCTAACATCCGATCCACTCAATATCTATTACAATGGAAGCCTACCATTAAAATTCAAATAAAATAAAGACATAAATTGTTGTATCAACTAAACACTGCTGCAACTCGTTTAAAAAATGGGGCAGGCTGACCCCACATATTCTCCTTTGTCTGACTCTATCTCTGACGTAAAAGTACAATTTTCCTCTATAAATACCCTTTGTCATCCACCGTCCCAGATTCTCAACTCCTCCCCAACCTCCTTTTCTGAAGAAGAAGAAGAGGAAGGCGGTTTTGCCCATCCCCCAACTTCCTATAAGATTGCAAGTTTTACACTTAATGGCCCATTCTATATTTGTCGCTACTGTCTGTGTTCTTATTCTTTCGCATTCGTTCATATCAGGTAGTTAATCGGTTCGGTTGTTAGTTAAATGTAAGGATTTGGAATTGCAAGGTTTTTTTTTTCTAAAACTTATTTTCAATACATTGTAACAGGAGTGAAAGCAACGACCTTCACCATAGTAAACAAATGCGATTATGTGGTATGGCCTGGGATCCTCTCAAACGCCGGTGTTCAAGAACTTCCCGAAACAGGTTTCATCCTCCAAAGCGGAGAAATCAAGACCATTTCCGCACCCGCATCATGGGGAGGTCGCTTTTGGGGTAGGACCCATTGCTTCCAGGATTCTACCGGGAAATTTTCTTGTCTCACCGGTGATTGCGGCTCCGGGAAAGTGGAATGTTCAGGGAACGGTGCAGCCCCGCCTGCAACGTTGGCTGAATTCACTTTGGACGGTGCTGGTGGTCTCGATTTTTTCGATGTGAGTTTGGTCGACGGTTACAACATCCCCATGTTGGTGGTCCCCCAGGGTGGCACAGGTCAAAATTGCACCAACACCGGCTGCGTCGGTGACATTAATGGCTCCTGCCCTTCGGAGCTGAAAGTAATGAGCACCGACGGCAGAGATGGCCTTGCTTGCAAGAGTGCCTGCGAGGCCTTCGGCGACCCTCAGTACTGTTGCAGCGGCGCGTATGGTACACCCGATACTTGCAAACCGTCTTCGTACTCGGAGGTGTTCAAGACAGCTTGCCCACGCGCATACAGCTATGCCTACGATGATAAAACCAGCACTTTCACATGTGCGAATGCAGATTATACAATCACTTTCTGCCCTTCACCCAACACAAGGTAAATTTACCTTTACTAACCTTATCAACTATCGGCTTGTGCTCATTAAACGTCAGGGGGTAATTTTGTCATAAAAAACGGTGAATCGAGAAAGCAAATCTAATCTGCAATCTTATGTCGGCTGCGGCACGGTCTGACATTTACGGCTAACCGTTGAAATTATAGTCATTGTTCAATCAATCATACATCAAAAGCCCGCAAATTGAGGCCAATGGTTTCCTGCCAAACCGAGAGCAGTAAATAAATGCATACGAATCCCAATAAAATTATAAAAGGCATTGTTTTTTTACAGGCACCTTATCTGTTGTTTTATTAACGGTTACTTGTTGGTACGTAAATTTGCAGCCAGAAATCATCACAAGGGCAGCAGAACACGGAAACCGCAACGCCTACTCTTATCAACGGCACAGTGGTGTACGAAGGCGCATTGGACGAAAGTGCGGCTGCATCAACACCGACAACGTACACCCATGTGTTGGGGAGCGTGGGGATGACAATGGCAATTTGGTGGTCCTGGCAACTCTTCTAACTTGTCATAAATAGGGCCGTATACTTACGGAAGTAATTTAGAATACAGGCAGAATAGAGGAACGGTGGGGATGGAGGCTGCTTCCTGCTTCTTAGATTTAGGAATTCTTTATATTATTTAAAAGGTTTTATTAGGTTTATATATAAGAATGGACGCAACAATGTAGTCCAGGAAATAAGAAGTTAAGAAATTATATTAAAATTTTGAGGGGCACCACCTGTCGGTCCATCCCTAGTTATATATACTTTTTAATAGTTTGTTTCCAGGAACTTATGATTAATGATTATGTTATCTTCCCTGCTATTCTTAACAGTGTTTTAAATAAATCATTTTTATTGCACATTTCTGTATTGATATTTTATGTCCTAAATCCCGGCTCGTCTTGACACTAAAAGAATTAATAGATATATAATGGATAATGTAAATTAAAGGAGAGGGATATTATATCAATTGCTATTAAAGGCGTGCATAATGACGTTCTTTAATTAAGTTATGGATTATGTAATTTGATTTATTTATGACGGTATACATATTAGTGAATTTTGCAATTTATGCACGAGACAAGTTGCTATAATTAGGTTGCCACTTTCTTGGTGCAAAGGATGGCGAGGTGGGTAGAGACGAGGGGTGTTGGTTCGACTTCAAAGAACGAGTTGAAACTTGCACAATTTGATAAGATTATAAAAAAAATTATAAATTTCCCCCTAAAAAAATAAAATGATAATTTGAATATCCTACGTTTATGGTTTTTTTTAATCAATTTGACACTTGGATAACTGTAAAAGTAGATTATTAAAAACTTTCCAAATAATTTTTTTTATAAAAAATTCTAACCGTGGGGACCATTGATATTTTTTAATCAATTAGATGCTAGGTCAACAATTAATAATAACTTTGAACAAAAATTAGAGGTGAGATTAAAATTTTCAAATAAAAACATATAAATTCAATCTTATAAAAAATAAATTATATTACACCTTTTTTATACTCTGAAGATTTCAATCATAGAACAACAATTGTGGAAAACCCTTTTCATACACATTAAGTAGCAAACCCGGTTTTAATTTAGACCAAAATAGAGGTAAATCTGACGAACCAAAAAAACCAAAATTCAGAGCCGCCAACGCCATTCCAAGATCAAAGGGCAGTCAACAGAACGTGAATCACTTCTCTGACTTTCAACCGTAAAGTTCAAGTAAGGAGTCTAAATTTTATAATTATTATTCTCGACTGTCATTTGAGCTCTTTATTATAATGTGCAAGTTTCAAGGGGGTAAATGTGGCTTAAATGTTCAACTGGATTGAATTCGAGAGCACTCATTTAGTTAATTAATAAATACTAGATATGTCCAGGTTCATCAGAATATGTCTTTTAAACCTTTGACTGTAGGTGGCCAAAGGGAAACAACCGTTTTTTGCCTGAAGATTTGAGAAAACAACGAATCTATCCTTCTTTGTTTGAGTCTGGTCAAACTCAAGGTTCTGATGTGCACTAAATGGATAAGGCTGCTTTACACCAATAATACCACCGTTTCTTATAATATACACTTTTTGTTTGAGATAAAAGCAAGGGAGCTGTATCATTTGAGACTAGTGCTGTAGATGAGTGGAGTAAGGTTGAGTATGGTTGAATTTGATTCCATTTAAAATTTTGAAGTTGAGTTCGACTCGATTTAGAAACTCGTGAGTTTAAAATTGTTAAGTAGACTCAAAATCATATATTGAAGTTTGTCTCGAGCTCGAAAATAGTTAAACTTGAAAAATTTTCAAACTTAGTTCGATAGAAGCTCGAACTTGAACATAGACTTTAAGTACATAGAAACTTTATGTTGCATTTAAAAAAATATAAATATAAATATTATTAATAATTTTTTTTAAAATATAAATATAAATATACCTTGTTTTTTTAAAGTTGCTCGCAAGCTTTCGAATAGGATATCAAACAACTTGATTCAACTTATTAAGAATTCAAATTGAGTTTGAGCACAAATTGTGTCTATTTAATTCGAGTATTAATCGAATCAAACTCGAATAACTCATGATATGCCATGTCTCATTTACAAGGGTTTTTTTGGCCTAATAGGGTAGCCCCAAAAAAATTGCAAAATAGGCCATAGACACTTTTATTTTGGGATCTACGACATTTTCTATAGTGTTTGAAACTTATCACGTCGAGGTGACGAGTTCTATTAAAAAATATTTTTTATTCAAACTTTTTACTCCTATGTGATAAATTTTAATGTAAAAATTATATTTTATTAGAATTTTTCACCTCAATGTGACGAGTTTCATGAATACTGTAAAAAATACCGTAGATCCCAAAATAAAAATGTGAATGCCCTAATAAGCTAACTAAAAAATCCGAATGCCCTAATGGGCCTAAAAAATCCATTTAGAATCCTATTTTAGACAACTTCTTTTATTGTAAACCTCAAGGTCAAGTTATTTGGACTGGGTTACCCTTTGATTTTAAACCCCAAGTTACATGGGCCAAACTCAACCAGTTCTCTATTTTATGATCAAGGAAAGTGGTGGGAAAAGGATTATACAAGAATAATCCAAACGAGTACTTGATTGATAAACATGTTCAAAGGCAGTCTCTCACATGTTGAAACCTGAGAGACGTATTTCTTCGCACACCAAGTTAACTAGCCTATTCATTTCTGCTTTCCCCCTTTGGATTACTCACAAGTATGAGTCGCGCAGACCACCGGCCACAGAGCTTTCCGCTGGTTTTATAACGGGGATGGACCGAGGGGATAGACGAGGGTAGTCACCGCTTAAAAATTATTATATATTTTAATTTTTTATATATATTTTCAATTGAAAATCTGTTTTCGTCCCCTGAAATTTTATTAGTTTAAGTTTGCCTCCAGAATTTTATTAGTTCAAGTTCGACTCCCTAACATAAAATCCTACTGATGTGAGCATTCAAGCACCTAATCCTGAAGTCATGCCACAAGGACCAATAACTCGTTCTAAGGCTAAGCAATTTAGGGAAGTTATTTATGACAAATGCATTCTTGCTTTAAAATCAATTGAAGAACAAGCAGACTTAGATAAACTATATAATGTGTTACATGTGAATATGTGGTGCATTCTATAGTCTCCATCTTTATACTTATTTAATGTGTATGTTATAATACATATCACTTACCTATATTTCTATGTCATTTGCTTACTAAGTATACATTATGATTTCATATTGTTTCTAGCTTAACTTATTGTTTTTGTGTTATTCACAGGTGCAAAGATAGCTTAACGAAGCTTTGTCAGCTCATGAATTAAGGAAGATAGCTCAACATGCCTTAAAGGAGCTTAACACCGAGCTAAGACAGCTAAACTAGCTGAAATGGTAACTGAAGTACTTGAATAGGAGATGATCCTAGTTGGAGAGGAACTGAGGATCAAGTAGCTGACTAGTGGACTGAAGCTAGCTGGAAGGTAACTGCAGTGTGAGCTGAGCTGAGTAGCTGGGGTGACACTAAGTACGTACCTAGCTCGGGTCTACCTAAGCACCTACCTTAGCAATAAAGTCATGCCATGTGCTAGGCGCACCACCATTCATGTCATGTGCAAGGGACACCACCAAGGCCGAACCATCCTAAGCATTCACAAGGGACGTGTGCTTTCATTTAGGCGCCAAGTATCCAAGAGGCATCACCATTCGACCAAAGGCCTCGAGACACTCTCCAAGCATCTACAAGCCGAACCAACACCACCATTCGGTCTTAAATCGTCATGCCACACCAACCGAAGCACCACAAGCCTTTACCGAACCATCACCTACATTATTCGGCCACGTAAAGATACATACATTGAATGAATGATTATGTATTTACTAAAGGGCATATAGGCTTGTCCAATCCACTTGTATCTATTTGGCCCTACCCTTTGGTTTCCTATAAATTGCTAATGTCTTGGCATTTGTAAGGATCTCACTGTGCATATTAATTCTACTTTTGTGAGTTTATTCTCTCTTCAAGTTCTTTGAGACCTTTATCGACTTATCAAGCCTAGTGCTTGTGCCGTCAACCACTTCACTTTGCATTGATACTTGAGGTTCCTAATTCTATCCTTTGCTACACCCTATCAAGAACTTATAAGGTTTGGTGTTAGACTTTCTATAGCCTAGGTTCTTCATTGTTCTTGATAATACTATCATCATCATACCCCTTTCTTTCTTCAACCATCACCAGACCCAAACAATAGTCCACTCTGATTTCATTTCTTTCTATCTTTCATTCTTATTGTAGCCCACTTTCTTACCCTTACAACAACTACCTTTATACTTTCTTTTGGAACCTATCTTACTGTAGGTTGTCTTTCTTCCTTCTTAAGTCCAACAATCAAGGTTGCTACCTCCTACATCACCATCTAGGCGTGCAAGTTGTTGAAAATTAAACCAACTTTCGGTGGAAAGTTGGATTTAATTAATCCACCGAATGGCAAATGTCAAAAAGGGTGGATTTGTGTTGAAAATTAACAATGGTAGAAATGCACTTTTAGTCATTGTAATTTAGGGTATTTACAAATTAGTCCTTAAGCTTCAACTATAAATACCCTAGCTCATTTAGCTTCAAAACCATCCCAAAGCATTCTAGCTTTCTTCCAATAATAGAGAGAATTTAGAGAGTTTCTTGAGAGTTGTTTTCTCCTTTTTATCAAGAGAGAATTATTATTGTTTTCTCCTTGGTAGATCGAGAGAGGTTGCAATTCCTATTTTCTCATAGTGAAATTCTTCTACCGTTGCCCGTGGTTTTTACCCTATTTTAGGGGTTTTCCACGTAAATTTTATGTCTTATTTATCTTCATTTTTATTTTCTCAAATTATCAGTTGCATTTTTGCTCTATCCGATAGCCGTCTTCCGCAACAATTGGTATCCGAGCTAGATTAGAGTGTGTAATATCTGCTTATTGTCTTTGTGGTTACCACCAAAAGGTGGATCCTCTAACATAAGAAAGTAAGAAGTTATTACCCATTCTTTGAAGGTTCCAGAGAACTATTCATGATAGTGAAATAGTGGGAGCTATCCGTAAAAGAAGTTATGACAACGAAATTTGATATTGAAAAGTTCAATGG